GCAGATTGCCATGTGTTGCTTAGAATGGTTAGGTAAAGTAAAATGTCTAGCGACTAGTTTCGATGTGTCCTTGTCATTCCTCTCCACGTCGCGAAGGTGTTCTCGGAATCGGTCACCTAGTCTTCCGCCTGTTTCGCCGATGTAAATCTTTTCGCAATAAGTGCAAGTTATGCAATAGATTACATTGCATAACTCTATTCGCTCCGACGAAGGGCTAACGCTCGAAACGTCAGCTTTTATAATCGTAAAGGTGGCCAATTTACCATTTCAACTTTGTTGATATATTCAAATGATTTCGTTACCCCCACCGACGCAGCCCCAAACAGTTTCTTTAGAAACTACCAGCCTTTTTACATAGTCATGTCATGTGTCATACAAAGAATTGATGAAATGTTAGAATTCTTCAAAATGTGTTTGGGAAAGACAACAAGGGCTTGAAAAACAATTCCTCCAACTGTCCGATTTAACGATTCTATATACGCATGTACGAATCTATGAGTATGTAGATAACAGATAATTTTCTTGCGTGACTTTAGGTTCGTGTAGTAATTTACACGAATGGAACAGAAGTTATGCATATGAAGTTCAATGGCAGAGGGACAACTAACCTTGACTGGTTTTCACAAAATAATCTATTTCAATCACCATGGACGGATCTTAAGAACGCGACAAACATTTTTATCTTTCGCATTCATGGTGCCGCGGCGCGCAGCTTTGAAATTGCAGGTAACCACTATGGATGCCCTCGTGATACTGGGTGGTTTTTGATCACGGGACCTCACTGTCCCTATGAGAAATCTCACCCTCAGGCTATACCGGGAATTCTGTACAGCAAGAAAACTCACAAAATTACATGGAATAACAACCAAGGTAAAAATTGCTTTAATAACTCTTGTGATATCTCTGTTATTGTTATGGTTTGTTTGCTATCAAAACAGAGAAATAACAAGAGATTTCTTAGACAAACCCTCTCGTATGGTTTCCTCGCCATTTGTTCATTGTTTAAATTAAAAAAGCATTGAACAACTATTTCCTTTTTTCGTTTTTGGTAGCCTTATGTTAAACCTAATCAGTCGAACCTTTCTCGGATTACTCGGAAATTTCCTTTACTTCTCCATAAATCAGGGATTCAAGAGTGACAGTTTAGGACGCCCTTTTTTCCTTCAAAGTGTCAGAATTAATTGATAAAAACAGTTAAACACTGGGGCAAAACCGCAGTTGGAAATTGAAAGGAAAAATGTAAAAACTGTTAGTCATCTAAAATATAACCTTTCCGGTGATTACAAGACCGGTGCTAAAAACCTGTTTGCTAAAAACCTGTTTTCACTCGGGAAAGATGATTTTTATCGACTCTTCATTTGTCTTCTTCCTCATTCATCTGTAAAAACTGAATGAGATATTATGGCAATCGTTTATTTATTGAGATTTCACTTAACAATTTCCTATGCATTATTTATAATAAAATCTTTATTCTTTTTATCTCTCAAGCTGACGTCGGAGGCGCTGAGGTTCTGATTGTGTATGTACGTTAAAGACCAAGGAGGCCACTGATTCAATGACTAAAGTAAAACATTTCCCGAAATTTGGGACAACATGGCGGAGGCGGTTCTCGTGTCACAAGCAAAATGGCGCCGAAACAGTATAAGAAAATGTATGGGAAAAGATTGTTTTTTCAAATTAGCTGTCTAATAATGGGATATTCTTTCGCTGCGTAGTTGGAAATGCAGCCTGGAAATGCCTGCGTAGTTGGAAATGCAGCGTCCTTCGCTGCGAAAAAGAAATACTCAAATTCAAGCCTACCTTTTCCCAAGGGATAAGAGTAGACTCATAATTCTGACTCCATTTTCCCATACAAACTCTTAAAATCTGCTTCGACAAGATGTAACAATTCTTTTGTCGTGGGAACAACCTTGTGATGATTCGAAATTGCATAGTTCGATATGTATTCTGAAGAAGTTTGCTCAACTAAATCACTCGTAAACGGTCGAATATGTTGGCCCACAAATTTTCCTTGAGCCGGGAGACTCTTCGTATTTT